CTCCGCATTGGTACGGGTTTGGAACAGTCCAGACCGTTGACCCCCATACCACGCTGAGGCAGCGGATAGGATTTGTGGAGCTCCAGTTCACATATCCGAGAATAGGGTAACTTGTAAAGGGTAACCAGTGCCAAATGATTTGAGCCAAGTGAACACAGTTCTCGGTCTAATCTTTTTTTTTACATCAAAGTCTGAGCAATGAGGGAGTTATCATTCTACAAGCTACTAGTAAATCACACGATCATCACGAAAAGTTAACATAATACTGAGAGAGGCCTTGGTACAGTTCATGACAAGCAGAAATTCAGCATTGTGCAGCGAGATCATGTTGTCCTCGCACAGCTGAGCAAACAAATAAAATCAATAAGGAATGGACTTTCCCCTCTGTTATTGGATGTCTTCCTCTATGGTTGCCAGCAGATATTTCCGGACCATAATTTCAGCTGATATTATATTTCACCTATCAGCCGTGAAGCCCAATGAGTTCTCTTTGCTCAGAGTACACGAAGAACATCTCACCTCACGACCGCTCACAACCTTTACAAGGAAGTCCGGCTGACCAACGAGCAGGCGGCTAGTTTTTTTTGGCATCCCGCTCAATCTTGTCGGTGGTTGCTCTGGTCCAGCTCCTACCTTTAGTATCGCATACGTGGATTCTCAGAGAGTAGAGTGAACATGCAGTCAACGTCATTTAACGCGCCTTCGGAAGAACAATGCTTGGAGTTTTCCTCGACAGGTGAGACAGTTATCCAGAATCCTGCCGTATTATTATTAGAACCCTGCCAAATAGCCGTATTTGCCAAGACTTTCAAGACCAGATGGGCCGGACACATCATGCGATTCGCGGATTACAGCTGAATCAGAGTGATTGCCGAATGATCTTCACAGAATGTTAAGCAAACACCTGAACGACTGCTAACCCTTTCGTCAGACTTCTTCGTGAAAGCTCTGAAAGAATTACATGAAGTCCATCGTGTCCCTCGAGCAAAGGGAACCCATTGGCGACACCAGCGCGCTGCAGGGACGAATGGAGACATTGCAGGCGCTCGCTCGCGCGACAAGGATGATCAACGAGAGCAGATGAGAGGGGATCAGCGGCGGATACACAGGCTCCGCTTCACTGCTTGACAGGAACTCAACAAATACGCTTTTGTGAACGGTGCAGGAGCATAGAGCTGGATGTGGCAGGACAACGGACCCAATCCAGACGAAGTTTTAATCTTCCAGCCTCCCATCTTATTTTTCATTCAGATATTTTTCAGCTCATAGCTTGTGGTATTTGTATTTTGCCTGTTTAATGTACATCCTCATGCCACTGGATTTTTTCATCAATCTGCGGCAAGTGGAGTTGGATCTCAGCTAAGTCAGCAAAGTTGGCGGACCTACTAAGTTGGTATCCGGAGTTCCTACAAGAGCATCCATGGACTTGCAGTGTTGGCGGCCCACTGCCCTTCTGCGCTGACTACCTCTCCACTCATTGCTTGCAGCTATAGGTCTTGATTACCATGTGTTTTTTCACCTTGTCGGAGTTTTTTTTTTCTCACACACTGTTATTTATCTCGGCCATTGTAACTAGTTTGCCGATAATAGATCATAAACCATAAATCTTCGAGAAGATATCGAGGGGAGCAGTTCGCATTTGGCTAGCTGTGAATCTCTCGTTTCAGGTTGAACTATGGCGGCTCAACAAAAGAGGGATCGTTGGCTCGCGTTTGGCATTTCGCGCGATAGCATCATGGAGGACAAAAAAGAACCGATGAACCAACAACCATTCTTGGAATGATCAACAAAGTAGTTAAAGAGAACCAAACCAATAAAAATCCCAGACGAAAGAAACTATGAACAAATAATTTGGCCCCAAGATGCTCTACTAACGTTAAAGCCATTACGCCATGCAAGTATTCTTTCAGGAGAAGTAAGGGATTACTCTGACCGGCTCGATTCCACGCACATGGACACTGTCAATTTTAGATATCGAACCAATGGAACTCCACAAAGACTGCAACAACGGGAAAATAGTTTGAGATGAAGAGAGCAGATTAGCTTTATCTACAGTTATATGCACAGTATCACAGAGTCAGGCATAAAAGAAAGGAATAATGAATACAACAAAAACCGTCTTCCAGAAGATCACACTTCCATTTCAACTGCCTTCCGTTTCTTACCGGCAGTTTCTTTCTCTGTAAAAAAGAGAAACACTTCAGAAACGATTAAGACATTTCACTTCAACAATTCACCTCTTTCTCTGTGAGGAAGCTCATGAGCTGGAGCATCTGGTAGAACAATGTCGGTTGCTTGAGAAGCCAATAACTGTTGCAACTCATGCTCCGCCTCTTCGACATCGGTCGTCGACAATTGTCCAGTAAGAAGTGCAGAAATTTCCTACAAAATCTTACCTTCAAACACAATGCTATGAAAAGTGCAGCTAGCAATAAAAGAGTCAATGAAGATTTAGAAGAAAACCAAAGAGGAAAAAGTGTACTCAAACCTCTTGAAACTCCGCGGCCTCCTTTGTTTCCTCCATTAGTTTTTCGATTTCATCCATGTCAAAGATCTACAATATGATCTTTGAGAAAAATGCAGAGTAAAAGAAAACCTTGCAAAACTCACAGCGTTCATCTTCTTGAGCGCGTCATTTCCTTGGCGAAGGCCTTCAACTACTCGCTGTTGAATATCAGCAAATTCCAAATCGTGTACCTATAAGCTGGCTATAAAATGTAGGCTATAAAATAACTTATAAGAAAATATATGTTTCAGTACCTGTAGTTCGAGAAGAAGGGGCTTCGACTTGAAAAGATCGACTAGCGCTTTACAATAATGGATTTGAATCAAGCCACGGTCAATCAAGCAGGGTCAAGCTCATTTCGAGGAATCTGCGACTTGGGGCTCGATCGTGATCTGCCGGAAGGGAAAGGTTCTTATGTTTAGAAGGCAGTAAAACAGGGGTAGCGTTAATGAGGCACTGACATCGCTGCTCCCGAGTCTCGCCATAAAGCGCAGTGAAGCGTCGAGTGGATCGCAGTAGAAGTTATGGCAAATTCTAGTGTAGGCGTAAGTGGACACAATAGCTATATGTTACGTTCGTCCAGGGAGCAATGCATCAGCTAGTCCAGAAAGTACTTTCACAGGCCCATATTCCTATCAGTGTACCTTGAGTGCGGGCGCATGTGGAGGAGTTGCTCAGCAAAAGCACAATAAAAGCATCATGTTTTATGGAAAAGGAACTCTTCTGCTATCTGAATTTGGCAGGTCTTTTCCTTGCATGAGCCTGGACGAAATTGCTGCCCACTCGAAGGCGAAAAACACGTTTTTACCAATTCTTGAATCGAAGCTGCCACGCCAGCTATACGATAATTAGCGTATTTCAGGTAGGACCTTCCAAGCGATCACGAATTAACCTACGGCTTAACAAGAGATCGCTTGCGAGTAATGCTCTCCATTCTCCCAACACGACGCAGAAGCAGATCTAGGATAAATACCTCGAACGACCTATAGGGAGAGGGAAGATCATGTGGATACCCGCTTCTGTGGTGACCATACTAACTACGCCTTTCTC